TTTTTCCTCTCTCTTTTTTCCTTCTCTCCTCCTCTTCTTTCCCTTCTCCTCCTCTTCCTGCTGTTTTTTCCTTTCTTTTTCTTTCTCCTTCTCCCCCTCCCCTTCTCCTTCTTCCCTTTCTTCTCCTCCTCCTTCCTCCTCCATCTCCCTCTTCCCCCTCTTTCCCTTCCTCCTCCTCTTATTTGGAGTGTTAGAATAGAATTCAGAATTAGAATAGTATATGAAATATAAAATAATAATAGGGTAGGGTAGAATAAAATAATTGCATTGAATTGAATTCTTTATTGGCCAAGTATGATTGAAGGAATTTGTCCTCGGTGCATAAAATCTTATTGTACATAAAAGCTATGAGTGATAAATCATAATCATAATCATCATAAAAATACATTCATCATAAATCATAAGAAACAATACTTAAGTGATAGTCATGGGAGATACTAAATAAGCAATCAACATAAACCGTACTAGCAGTTTTGTTTAGTTTAAATAAAACAATGTAAATTGTAAAGATCCAAGCAACAAAGTTAAGGTCACAAGTAGAAAAGGAGATGGCTAGTAGGAAAGATGAGAAAAAGAATATTAATCCAGACTCTCTGTATTTTAAGGTGGTAACATTTGGAGAAACTCAGGTCAGGATTCTGGCAATTGTCTTAATTAAATCATGAGCCTCGAGCCAAGCTTCAAAAACTTCAAAGGATTTATTAGGAGCGAACATGTAGGCATGGCTTCTGAGACACATAATTCACTATCACCTATGACCCTGTTTTCCCTCCACCCCTCTGAGTGTATCATCATTCATATTCTCCAACCGAAACATGTTCATAGCTGAGAGTCATCAGTTAGAAATTCCGGTAGCTTAGTTACAATCTTTGCAAGATAAGAATGGAATACACTTTTGGTTTTAAACTGCAGCACTGCTCCTTCAATCTCTCTCCTCCCCCACCCCTCACTGTTCATGGCAACTCTAAAACAGTTGACAGTTATGAGTTGACATTCAGCAAATTTCAACCAAAAGCATGTCCTATTTAAAACCTTTTTTTTAAAAAAAGAAGAATGCCCCGTGCTTCATGGTGGTTAAAGCCATCTTAGAAAAATTACGGAGGACTCCCGTTAACCCTGATTTCTTTGCTTTGTCTTTCAGGTCTGTATTACGTGGACAGCGAAGGGAACCGCATCTCAGGAACCGTGTTCTCAGTGGGCTCCGGTTCCGTCTACGCCTATGGGGTGATGGATCGTGGCTACTCTCACAACCTCTCGGTGGAAGACGCCTACGATCTGGCTCGCCGGGCGATCTATCAAGCCACGTACCGTGATGCTTACTCGGGTGGCTCGGTCAACCTGTACCACGTCCGCTCGGATGGCTGGATCCACGTCTCCAGCGACGATGTCTCCGATCTGCGAGAATTGTTCCTCGACACGTCCGCAAAAGCCGTGGCTTGAAATCATAGTCTGAAAGGGGCGGGGGGGGGGGGGAGGGGGGGGGGGGGGGGGGGGGGGAAGCAGGCTGGGGTGTTTTTTCAAACCGTCAAGAGGTGAAATTTTAACTCCAGCTGTTAGCAGAGGCCACAAGTTGTTGAAGATGTCTGACCAGTGATTTATGTAATTAAATGTCCAGTTTCTTCGGAATTAAACTTACTTGTCCAAGCTTTTTGGTGTTCTCATTGAAAGAAAGGGAAAGTGAGTGGTGGAGTGGCCTAGAGGTGGAGCTCTCACCTCACAATCAAGAGGTTGTGAGTTTGATCCTAGGTAGAGGCAGATATTTCTCTCTCTGGACACAGAATATATCTGCTGAACAAAACTTCTCATTGGCAACTGGAAGGGCATCTGGCCAGTAAACGCTCTGCTAGCTCCATTCAGTTGCCCATTCTCCATCCTGCAAAGGATTAAGGGGACATTAAATGATGATGATTGGAAGAAAGGGAAAGCAAGTTGAATCTTGCCTATTGCAGTCCCACTGAGTGTGTGCATATCCACACCTGTGTTAGACAAATAGAGTTGACTTACAACTATAATACAGCCCCAATCACTTTTGTTCCTAAGCGAAGCATCTCTTAAATGAATTTTGCTCCGTTTTACAATCTTTCTTGCCGCAGTTATTAGTGAATCCTTGCATTTCTTCAGGTAGCAACACGATTAGGTGGTCCCAAGTTCGCAAAAGGGGATTGCGTGGCTCCGGGACACTGCTGCTGTCATAAATATGAGTCACTCACTGAGAATCCGAATTCTGATCACGTGTCCACGATGGTCCCGTGAAAACCAGCCCTGCGTCCCTTTTTATCATTCCGTAACAATCATTAAATGAATGTAAGTTGAGGACTAATCTCTGCAGCATTTTCTTTTTATTTTCAAGCCAAACAGCATCCCAAGGGTCATCGTGCGTGGATGTGTTCTTGCAGAATAAACCCAGCTCAATTTTTTTTAACTCCAGTGGGTTAAATTTCCCTGCTATTTTTGACAGGTGACAATAGATTACGATAGATTAGAATAGAAAATAAATAGAATAGAAAATAGAATAGAGAGAAAATAGAATAGAGAGAATAGAATAGGATAGGATAGGAATAGAGTTAGAAGGGACCTTGGAGGTCTTCTAGTCCAGCCCCCAGCTCAAGCAGGAGAACCTATATCATCTCAGACAAACGATTGTCCAGTCTCTTCTATAAAATCTCTCTGTTGGAGCAGCCACAACTTCTGGGGGCAAGGAGTTCCACAGGTTAATTGTTCTCACTGCCAGAAAATTTCTCTTTAGTTCTAAGTTGCTTCCCTCCTTGATTAGTTTCCACCCATTGCTTCTTGTCCTGCCTTCTGGCGCCTTGGAGAATAATTTGACCCCCCCTTCTTTGGGGCAGCCCCTCAAATACTGGAATACTGCTATCATGTCTCCCCTAAGTCCTTTTATTTAGACCAGCCATATCCAAATCCTTCAACTGTTCTTCCTATGGTTTAGTCTCCAGGCCTCTTAGTTGCTCCTCTCTGAACTTTTTCCAAAGTCTCAACATCTTTTTTTTTTTTTGGACAGGCTCACACCTTCAATAATCTTTTCTCTCTCTTTTCTCTCAACTTTCTCCAATGGCGGGCAGTACCAATCCAACCCTTTCCCCTCTCTCCTTTACGCTTCCTTCTCAACTTGACATAATGTGTGTTCAACGCTTAGACCGTAATGGGAAGGGAAAAGGTCATTGCCGGCTTCGGGAAATAAAATGGACGAGGAGGCAGGCCCTCACTTGCGGAAAAGGTGTTGTGTCTTTTCCACTTCTTTTGAAGCGTCGTCTTTCTTCAGTGTGGCGTTCCGGCTCACCAAGAGGAAGGAATGAAACCGTTTGCCCAAACCCCCCCCCCCCACCAAAGGATAGGTTGAGCGTGAAAAAGTTTTGCACCGTTGCAGAGAGACTCGCTAGAAGGATCTGCAACCTTAAACACTCAATTTGGACCCCTCCTACAGAAAACAAAACACCGGGAGCCTCAAAACCTGGGTGGGCGTGGCCAACTCCATGTCACTCCCACCCAGTCACATGACACACCCCGCTACATCTAGCCAGGTTTTGTGGCTCCCGGTGTTTTCTGTGGGAAATGTGTATCTCCCTCCCTCCCCTTCCTCTCATTTCTGTTTTTTAATGTTGTACCTTCTCAGGCCAGGCTAGGAATGACAGGGAGGGGAGGGTGAGGGGCGGGGCCAGCCAGTAGCGGGATCACCCAAAAGGGAGCCACAGCAGTTGGCCCAAAGAGCCACATGCGGCTTCAGAGCTGCGGGTTGCTGACACCCGCGAAATGAGGGGTGAGGTGTTTGCCCTGGGTTCAGAGCTCCTTGTCAAATACGGGTAGTCCTCAACATACGGCCATGAAGGTGGAGGGGGCAGATTTCTGTCATCAGGTGAGTTTTGCCTCCGTCTTACAACCTTTCCTGCCACCGTCGTTACGGGAATCACTGCCGTCGATAAGTTAGGAAGCCGGTTGTTCAGTGAATCGGGCGTCCCCATGGGCTTCGCTGGTCGGAAGGTCACAAAAGGGGGATAGCGTGACCTTGGGGACACTGCAACGGTCGTAAGTATGAAGCAGTTGCCAAACAGCTGAATTTTGATCACATGGTCGGGATACTGAAAAGTCAGTGTGAAAAAGAAGTCACTTTTTCCAGTCCCGTTTTTACCTTTGAACGGTTGTTAAACAAACTGTTGTAAGTCGAGGACTATCTGTACAGTCCTCGGCTTACAGCTGTTCATTTAGTGACTGAAGTTACAAATGGCACTGAAAAAGTGACTTATGACTGTTTTTTTCACTTATGGCCATTGAAGCATCTCCCACGGTCATGTGGTCAGACATTTGGCAACCGGCTAATAGTTACGACGGTTGCAGTGTCTCCCGGGGCACGGGATTCCCCTTTCGCGACCTTCCGACAAAGTCCATGAGGAAGCAGGTTCACCGAACAACTGTACTGACTTAACGATGACAGGGATTTGTAAAAGGTTGTAAAAATGGGGCAAAACTCACTTAACAACGGTCTCACTCTGCAACATCTATTTCGGCCTTGATTTGTGGTTGTGAAATCGAGGATTAACTTGCAGTACTGCTGGTTAGAGCCAGCCAGAGAAGCGATCAAAAAAGCACCCAGCATGAAATTCGGAAGTTATGGGAGCTTCATCGCTTGAGACTTTCAAAGAGAGACTGGACTGCCATTTGTCAGAAATTGTGTAGGGTCTCCCGCTTGGACGGGGAGGTTGGACTAGATGACCTACAAGGTCCCTTCCAACTCTGTTCATCTGTAAATCTGTAAAGGTGAAATGTTTGTGCTAAGGAGAAGGGAAAAATAAAAATTGGCAGTGCCCACTTCTGCTAGATGTTCCCTGCTGGGGCCCTACTTAGGAATGCGTGTGCAGCTCTGGTGTGTAACTGTGTGTGCGTGCGTGCAGGAGACTGGCCAATCAGGGCAGAAGGGGGGGGAGAGCATGGGGGGGAGAACTGGTGTGGCGGTTGGCAGCAGGATGCACAACTCCCCCCCCCTTTTTTTTGCACACACATGGACACGCAGGCGAATACAAAGAGCTGTGCAACCTTCCCGTATCCTTTGGCCAGGGATGTGTGTGCATGCACACGGGAAAAGGGGATGGGATTAAGGGAAACTGGGAGGAGGGGGCGGGGGGGGCGATGGTGGGAGGGAGAATGGGCCCCAATCTGCCCTTCTTTTTTGGCCTTGCCTATAAGACAAACAACCAGGAAGCGGAATGAGTGCAGGAGAACAGTTTGGCAGGGAAGGTGTACATGTGTGTGTGTTTGCGTGTGTGTGCATGGGTGTGTGTACACCCATAAATATGGTACAATGTTTGCAAAATGGCTAGACAGGTTGACGTGTACAGAGAAAACAGGAAGGTAACCAAAGGGGGGATTTGGAAGCGATAAGCTGGCAACGGGTAGAAAAATAAGCATTCAACAGGATAGAGGGCACTTGAATTGCATCGTTGGGTTTCTTAAAAATGGGGGGGGGGTTTGCAGGAGATCAGGATCGACACAACCTTTCCTCCTGAGTGTGCAAAGATTTGTGGGTGTGCAAGGATTCTTCCGAATGGAAGGGATGGGATCGTTGGGAGGGAGGGGGCAGGCCTTGGGACAAAGACTAGAAAAACAGGAGGAAAAGGCGATTATGGCAATAAGGCCCAGAAAAACAATGAGGAATTTTCAAGGCGATACATCATGAAGTCTCCCTTATGGTTTTTATTTCGGCTCGCTTGGGTTGGTGGGAGACGATGTGGGGGGCTTATTCAGTACTAGCTGGATACTCATGCTTTGCTACGAAACTATGTGGCTGGACTTAATTTTTGGGGAGGAAAATAAGGTGGGAAATTGTGCCTCTGCCAACCAGCATCCATCGGTATTCATCAGGCTAGCATCCTGTTAGTGTGTGAGAGTTGAGGGATGTTTGGAAACTGAAAGAGTATTTGCTGTGTGAGCAAGAAGGAGACATCAAGGAGCCTGGGCGTGGCTTAGCTCAACTGTTCTGTACTAAAGCTGCTTGGTGCTTGTGAAACTGAAACTCCTCTCTACTGCTTGTGTTTTGCATTTGGAAGAGATTTCTTTTCAGGTGGGGAAGTCGAGTGGAACTCCTTAGCATCAGAGCGTGTTAATAATATAAATAATATAGGAAATATTCTAAATGCTCTGATGGTCATTTTGAAAAATCCTTTCTTAGTGAACACCTAGAAGCCAAGAGGAACATACATGCCAAATGTCACGTTTGTAGGCTTTACGGTTCTGGAGATTTTGTGATGATGCGTGAGTGGTATTTCGCTTTTATCTATAGAGATTATAATTCTCATTTTCATCCCCAACTCATCAGCCCCAAAGCCACCAAGCTTCAAACCAGGGTTTCTTTCTCAGGCTGCTTATTCTAGCCACTCGAAAATCCAGAAGCCTGGTTAACGGAGCTGGTCTGGGTTTGGTTTCCACTGCCGTTAAAAAGAATAAATAAAGATGTTTTTAAGTGGAGGTAACCTGTAGGGGAATGGCAATGTTTAGCCATAGGAAGCTGCGCCTGAGTGATGCACCGGGATTGACAGGAGGGTCTGTATGATTTTGTGCAGCAGGATTTCTGTTTGAAAAAAAAAAGGGGGGGGTGAGGGGAACCGGGCTGATTGGAGGCCTGGAGCCAGAAACCAAAAATAAGTGAATTGAGTTTGCAGGTGCTTGAAAGCTTTGCTTGACGTATAGGTATCCCTCGGGGACTCTTCAGAGATTGGAAAGACCCACTGAGGTAGATTGCAAAAACAAAAGAAAATGAACAGAAGGGAACTTGGAGGTCATCTTTTCTCTAGACTAGCCCAACCCAATTCCTGCAACCGTTTGTTGTATGTTTTTGTCTCCAGGCATTTAATCCTCTTAATTGCTCTTCTCTGCACTTTTTCCAAAAGTCTCAATTATCTTTCTTGTAATGCAGTGACGAAAACTGGATTGTAAGGTGCAGCCTGACTAAGCGATACTAATACTTCTCGTTATTTTTATTCTATGCTTCGGTTTATACAACCAAGGATCATGATAGCTTTTTTTTTTTTTTTTTTTTGGCCATTTGGGGAAATGTTGCAAGGACGCTGGTCTGATTTATTTCTGATACTTTGGAATAGAATACAGAATAGAATATAGAATAGAATACAGAACAGTATAGAATACAGAATAAAATAGAATAGAAATAATCGAATAAAATCGAATAAAATAGAACAGAATAGAAATAATAGAATAGAATAACAGAAGATAATATAAAATAGAATAGAAATAATAGAATAGATTAAAATAGAAGAACAGAACAGAACAGAATAGAATAAAACTGGAAGGGATCTTGGAGGTCTTCTAGTCCAACCCCCTTCTCAAGCAGGAAAAAGGCGGGTGGGGGGGAGACTTGGAAAGGCATCTGAGCCTTAAACTCATCGCTTTGCTTGGAACCTTCTGTCTGGGCGGCTCAAAGCAGCAGAGAGAAGTCGGAGCCCTGGATTGCAGAAGCGGCTTTGAAAAATAAAAAGCATCCAGCGAGAACCTCCCGAAAGCGGCCCCCTTTTTCCTCCCCCACCTCCCACTCCCCTTTCTCGTCTCCGGGAGCAAGGCGCCAGGGCTCGGAGCCAATCAGACGCGTCCGGTTCCTCCGCGCCGGCCAATGGGAAAGCAAAAGGGGCGGAGAAGCAAGGAGCCCTTTGCTTTGTGTACACGGCGGCTGGCCGGCTGGCACGCGCGCGCTTCTCGCTGTGCTGTGCACGCGGGATGGAACGTTCTGAGCCGTGGTGTTCCATTTGCCAGCCTTCGAAGTCGGGACACGGGTCGAGCGCGCGTTGTGTGAACAGGTCGACCCGGATTTTTTTTTTTTCCTGACAGTGCGAACGCTAAACGGACGGCACAGATTGCCTTTAGAAGCTGTGGGAAGCTTCATCGCTGGAAGTCTGGAGAGATTCTCAGTCATCCAAAATCACGGTTGTCCCCAAAGTGCTTTTTTTCAGGAGGCAACCGGACATTTTGGGGCGGTTGTTGTTTTTTTTTTGGAAGATTTTCATCACGGGAAGGTTTCAAGAAGAGTCTGCCCTCTTGTCAGAAAGTCTGCTTGGGCAGGGGTGGGTGGGTGGGTGGGTGCGTTAGACTAGATGACCTCCAAGATCTGCTAATCTGATTTGGAGTCTGTGTATTTGAACCCTAATCCCCCCTCCTCCCCCCACACACACGATGGACCTAGCATTCTCATGACCTCTTGTGCATCCGGAAGCTGTTCAGTGGTTTTTTTAGAGCCATCTTTCCTGAGGGGGAAGTGAGAAAGAAAAAGAGAGGGGGGAGAAAAAGAGAGGAAAGAAAAAGACAAAAAATGTGAAAAGAGAAAAAGGGAGAAAGGAAGGGAGAAGGGGAGAGAGAAAGAAAGGAGAGGAAAAGAGAGAAAGACGGGAGTAAGAGAAAGGAGAGAACGAGGAGAGAGAAAGGGGAGAAAGAAAGAGATAAGGATCAAAGTGATCCTGAAGGTACATTAAAGGCAGTCCTCAATTTACAACCATTCATTTAGCGACCACTGGCACTGAAAAAACATGACTTACGCCTGTTTTTCACCCTTAGCAACTGGTGTGAAATGTCACAAAATTTTGGCCTCAGTTGTGGTCGTAAATCAAAGACTAGTCTCTAGGATGTCCCAACGGTACAGGTAGCCCTCGGATTATAACACTTCGCTTAGTGACTGTTGAAAAATGGAAAAAAATGACAGGGACATTTTTCATGCTGATGACCGTTGCAGCATTCCCCATGGTCACATGATTTACATTCGGAGGCTTGACAACTGACTCACGTGTATGACGGTTGTTGCAGTGTCCCAGGGTCACGTGATCTCCTTTTGTGACCCGAGAAGCAAAGTCAATGGAGAAACCAGATTCACTTAACAACCGGATTACCAATTACCAAAGAACTGCAATGATACCCTTAACAACTGTGACAAGAAAGGTTATAAAATGGGGCAGAACTCACTTAACAAATTTCTCACTTTGCAACATAACATTTTGGGCTCCATTGTGGTGGTATGTTGAGGACAACCTGTATTATATTTGAACTACAATGCCCATAATTATGCTAATATCGAGCTGGGACAGCCAGATTTATTCAGAATCCAGGTAGTCCTTGACTTATGACCACTATGGAACCTCTACATTTCTATTGCTGAACAAGAGCATTGTTAAATGACTTTTGCCCCATTTTACAACCTTTCTTGCCACCGTTGTTAAGTGAGGAACATAGTTATTAAGTGAATCTGGCTTTCCCCGTTGACTGCTGGTCAGAACGTCGCAAAAGGGGATCGTGTGGCCCTGGGATGCTGCAACTGTCATAAATACGAGCTGGTTGCCAAGCGCTTGAATTTTGATCACATGACCAGCAGTCATTAAATGTGAAATGGTCGTAAGTCCCTTTTTTTCCCAGTGCTATAGTAACTGCAAATGGTCACTAAATGGGTGGTTGTTAGTTGACGATTACCTGAAATGTGCCAATATGGCAGAGATTTAATCAAAACTTTATCCGGGTTTTCTGATAAGTTTCGGACAATCCCGGAAGCTGCCAAATATCCTGTTAACTGTGAAAATCGGGTGGTATTCTACCAGTTCGGCCCAGTTCGGTCGAACCAGTAGCTCTGAGGATCATCTATGAGCGAACCGGTTCGCTCCAACGATCAGCTGCTGGGCCCGCCCACCTGCCCCGCCTCTATTCTGACCTTTATTTCCCGGTTTTCAAGCTCAGCTGTTTCGGGCAGCACAGTGAATTGCCGTCCATCAACTGTTTAACACAGAGGGAGAGGGCAGGATTGCAGGAGCAGGCCAGTAGCAAACCCTCTGCATGTGTGCGAAGTGCGCCCACCAAGCTACGTCCACAGAACTGGTGGTAAAAATATTTGAATCCCGCCACTGGTGAAAATACTTGTTTTTGAAAATCCCATCGTACGGCAGTTCCCCCGCTGTCTCCCTCTCTCGGCGCTGAGTTAATTGCGAGAGTCCATTGACAAGACACTCAGGAGGCCATGAATAAAATTTACAAGAGGTCAGCAGTGAGTTAATAGAATTTCCGATGCTGTGGAGTAAGAGCCAAGAAGACACTACAATTCAGATGAAACGGCAAAGCAAGAGATCTGAAGGATTCTGGAGTGTTTTCGGCTTTGAAGCGCCTCTGAACCGAGTGTTAAGCTGGAAGTGGCTTCAGCCACTTTGTTAATGTTTATTATAGGCTGATTTTTAGTATTTTATTATTTTTACAAGTAGCTCAAGGCAGTGAAACATATCGGATGGATCTTTCTCCAATTTTTCCCTACAACAACAACCCTGTGAGGTGGGCTGGGATGCGAGAAAGGGGGTGGCCCAAAGCCACCCAGTCAATTATGATTAAGGTGACAGTAGAACTCACAGTCTCCTGGCTTTTGGCACACTCAGCCAGCTTTCGTATCTTAAGGCGGAACTAGAACTCACCATCTCCTGGTGATTAGCTCAAAGTCACCCTGCTAATTATGACTAAGGTGACACTAGAACTCACAGTCTCCTGGTTTTTGGCACACCCAGCCAGCTTGTGTGTCAAAGGCAGGACTAGAACTCAACATCTCCTGGTGATTGGCTCAAAGTCACCCAGTGACTTTCTATAATTAATACAAGACTAGAACTCCCAGTCTCTTGGTGATTGATCCAAAGTTTGCCCAGCCAGCTTTCATGCCTAAGGCAGGAGTAGAACTCCTAGCCTCCTGGTGATTGGCCCAAAGTCATCCAGCCGGCTTTCATCCTAAAGCAGAACTAGAACTCCCGGCCTCCTGGGATGCCTTCACCATTAAACCAAGCTAGTTCTCTTTTGCTTCCTTCGGCCCGGTTTTTGTGTCCGCCTGGATGGCAGAAATTGGTTAGAGAGCCTGATTTGAAATCTCTGCGATGTTCCAAAACCACTTGTGGCCTTGCCATGATCATTCAGCTGCTTTATTTTCCTTGATTCGTTCCTTCGGTAGCTTGGTGTCTACAGGAAGAGAAGCATCCTGAGGCTTTCCACTCCGCATCAGGGCCATCTTACCTTCTACTGCCTCTGAAATCCCGGTCTTGATGTCGTTCAGCGCCACTATCTTGTTCTCCCCACCCCACCCTAATGAAGCCAAATGCTGCTGTTGCACTTGCAAGCAGGAGCCGGGGGCTCCTGTCACGGCCCCACCACCACAGGCCCCATCGTCCTCTCCTTGCACCCCCATCACCATCACAGGCACGGGGCTGTCAGTCCAGTCCTCGGAACAGCTGCTCCACATTATCTACCAGCGGGTCGAAAAGGCGGTCGGCTTAGCCGAACTGGCGCTGAGCTTGGCGAGGGCCAATAATGAAGCCCTGAGACGTCTTGAGGAAGACGTGGCAGCCTTGCGCCGGGGGCCCCTCGTGGCCCTCAAAGCCAGCCCCCTGCGGGTCCCCGAGGAGCCCGAAAACGAGGAGGAATTGGAGGCCGAAGAATTCGGGAACGGTGTCCAGGTGGTCATTGAAGAATTGAAGCAGCTGGGTGCTGCGTCGGCAGCAGTGGGGCGGCCCGAACCCTTGGCCTTCTCGCCCGTGCCGGGCCTTGGCGGAGTACGTAGCCTAAAATTGTGGGGCTCCGTCTCTCTCACCCCATAAAAATCCATGCCGTAGCCCCGTCCCTCCGGTGGGGCACAGATGGCATCATGAATAGTTGATGACTTTTCTCATGCTTCCTGCAAACTGGCTCTCCAAAGAGTGACAGTCTGGGAGTCACGCCAAATCAGGCACCAGAGAGGCTTCAACGAGAGTCGAAAAGAGCGGCACGGTTGGCAACGCCATCCCAAGCCGAGCTGGAACTGGGTTTGGTGCTGTTCGGGGCAAATGAAGAATTTGGGTCAAGGTGGGGTGGGGGTTTGACAGCAGAGGAGTGTGGAAAATCCAGCGGATGAGGAAAAATGCTCCCTATCCTCTGGTGTTCATTTGGGCCTGGTATGATTTTTGTTCCTGAGCAATCAGGAAAGGCTTTGCTTTGTAAATGCGTGCTCAGAGCATTGTAGATTTTGCATTGGCATTTATAGTCCCCAATGTACGACCGCAATTTCTACTGCTCAGCGAGGCAGTTGTTAAGTGAGTTGTGTCCAATTTTACAACCTTCACTTTTCACAGTTGTTAAGTGAATTGCTGCAGTTGTTAAGTGAATAACGTTGTTAAGCGATCCTGGCTCCCCCCCCCCACACACACTGATTTTACCTGTCGGAAGACATCTGGGTGGGTCGCCAAAGAGAATCACAAATGACTGGGATTCTACAAATGTCATAAACATAGACATGCCAGTTGCCGAGTATTATACAGCTAGTCCTCGACTTACAACAATTCATTTATTGACAATTCAAATTGACAACGACACTTGGGACTATTTTTCACATAACACAGCATCAAAATTCAGATGCCAACTTGTTCATACTTACGACCACTCCTGTGTCTCAGGGTCATGTGATTCCCTTTTGCGATCTTCTGACAAGAAACACAGGGAAGCCAGATTCAGTTAACGACCGGGTTACTAACTTATTAACTGCCGTGATTCACTTCACAACAACGGCAAGAAAGGTCATAAAACAGGGCAAAACTCACTTAAAACATGTCTCCCTTAACAGCAGTAATCTTGGCCTCAATTGTGGTCGTACGTCAAGGACTACCTGTATTCATATATCAACTGTCTCGCTTAGCAATGAAAATTTGGGACTCCGTTGCGGTCATAAGTTGAGGACTTCCAGCAAAGGATGTATATAATTCTTCCTCTCCCGCCAGGTAGCCGAGGAATGTCCTGCAGGAGATGCCCCAATGCCGCTGGTCTATGTCCCTCCTTCTCCTGCCCCACAGATGGCCCAGCAACCACCGTTCCAACCTCTGGAAGAGCCTCTTTCCTGCCCGGAGGGGTCCCCCAGCAGCACGACTCACGAGGAGCCCACGAACGTTGAACCCCATTTCTGTGTAGGCTTCGCTGGTCTCCCTTGCAGGAGCAGAAACCTTGGGCAGAAAAATGCCAGGCGCAAAAGGGATCTGGTCTTATCTGTGAGTCGATTCCCTTCCTTGGGTTGAGCTTGTGACCCATAAGGCACCCGGCGTTCAGACCCAAATAACTTGTCTGAATAGTGTTTTTCAACACTTGGGACAGATGGCATAATACCATGTTTCGCCGAAAATAAGACCAGGTCTTATATATATTTTTGGGGGGACCAAAAGACCCATCAGGTCTTATTTTCAGAGATGTCTTATTTTGTAGCTACCTGTCTGCTCCCTCCTACCATCTGCTTGCTCGCGGCCGTAACGGCTTACAGGGATTCCCAGGGAACATGCACTTTTCGTCCGGACGGAGAAATGACGGAATACTGGAAGCTTCGTCTGCTTGCAAATGCGCTAATCCCTCTGTTTCAAAGCGCCCCATTTGTGAGCAGACGAAGCTTCGTCTCTTTCTGGGCGAAAAGTGCGCGGTGGAGTCCGGCGGAGGCAGGCGATCCCAACGTGCCACCCACTCTGTCCCACCATCTCTTGACTTGCCTGTGGCCTGGCCGGGGTGTGTGCTGACATGGGATGTTGGGATCACATGCCTCCAATCCATGCCTCTGCCTCCACCTGCTGTCGGTGATGCCGCGCGAAGCTACCGTTTGAGCCAGGCAGCTGCACAACATGTCCGGATCACCTGTCTCCCTCCACCTCTGCTTTCATGCTCGTACTTACCTGTGTTGTGCCAAGGGGCTGGGGGGCTGCTGCTGCTGCTGGCAGACACCATTGGACCCCATACATTCGCTGCCTCTTGTGCTGGCCATGCCAATCCCTCGGGATTAATTTTTGGGGTAGAGCTTAATTTTTGGGCCCACCCCCCAAAAAAATAAGGCTAGGGCTTATTTGGGGGGATACACAATAGTTCAGCCAATCCTCACATTCTTCTCTCTTTCCCTTGGTAGAAATTGGTCCACAATGTTCACAACCACATCACCAACGAAAAACGGTTTGATGGCGCAGAAAGGTGAGGAAAAATCAGGCTTTGCTAATTACATGTAAAAAGAGTCGTGGTGGCGCAAGTGGTTAGAATGCGGTATTGCAGGCTGACTCTGCCTGCTGCCAGCAGTTCGATCCTGACCGGCTTGAAGTTGACTCAGCCTTCTGTCCTTCCAAGGTCAGTAAAATGAGGACCCAGGTTGTTGGGGGCAAGATGCTGACTCTGTGCACAGTGAAGCAATATATAAATGCTATATTGCTGTTGCTACAGGTAGTCCTGGACTTAGAACCATTCATTTAATGACCATTTGAAGTTACGACAGCACTGAAAAAAGGGACAGGACCATTTTTAACACAACCGTTGCAGCATCCCCGTGGGCACGTATCAAAATTCAGCCACATGGCAACTAGTTCACATTTATGACAGTCACAGTGTCCTTGTGACAACCAAAGTCAATGGACAAGCTGGATTCACTTAATGACTGTGTTAGCCGCTTAACAACTTATGCGATTCACGTAGTGACTTTGGCAGGAAAAGTAATAAAATGCGGCAAAACTCATAACTGTCTCACTTACTGATGGAAATTTTGGGCTCAGTTGTGGTCATAAGTCGAGGACTACTTGTATATCTTTTATTGTCTTGGGATCTTACTTTCCTGTCGGAGAAGGATAACCATCTGGGCATGATGGGCTGAGCTTTGTAACAAGGCAATTAACAGATGGTGTGGTGTTTTGTATCATTTGTGCGGGCTGTGGGTCACAACGGGTGTTTCATTGTTGTTTAATGCCCAAACCCAGCAAAGATTTTCCTTCAATTTATTTACCTGCTTGCTTGCATAAGAAAGTGGATCCCATAATCCGTTGTTATCAGCGGAGTCTGATTTATAAATTATGTGCAAAAAAAAGCATTTTATCAACGGAGAGCAGTCCTTTCAAGTGAAAAATTTAAAAACTGCACAGCTTCTGCGAATTGACCACAACTGAACTCAAAATGACTCCACCCCGCAAGGGATTATGGAGTCATTAAAAGATGATGGTGATGATTTTATGTTAAATTTTAGTACTGTTTTTGAAGTTCTTCATTCATAATCTGAATATTTTACTCTCTTTCCTCTTTTACAGCATTAAATCATCTTGGAATATTTCGGTAGTCAAGTTTTTGTTGGAAAAACTCAAACACGAATTGGTCTCCAATCACCATAATTATACGGATAAGGAACTAAAAGGTGAGCTGAGGTAATTTTTTTTTATTTTGCACCCGTTCGGTTTCTGGGTTTCAGTGCTAGAATGTACAGGTACTCCTCATCTTACAATGCTTCATTTAATGACCATTGGGAGTTACAATGGCACTGAAAAAAGTGACAGACATTTTTCACATAGTTGCACTATCCCCAATGGTCACGCAATGAAAATTCAGACAATGGGTTCCGCTTTATGACGGTTACAGAGTCCCGGAGTCAGGTGGTCCCCTTTTGTGACCTTCCGGCAAGCCACGTCAAGGTTAAGCTGGATTTGCTTAATGATGGCAATGAGTCACTTAACAACTGTGGCGTAAAACAGAGCAAAACTTCCCTGAACACATTGCTCACTTAGCAGTGGAAATTTGGGTCTGGAATCATGGTCGTACATCGAGGACTGCTTGCATTCCCCTGCCCCACTGGGGAAAAAAATTACTTCTTTCTGCTTCGCTAAACAGAAAATTTTCTTTGGCTTTAGCAATAGCTGCTGGCGTTTAGTCTGCAACTGATGGATGATATTTGAAAGGTTGAATTGTGTACGCAGAGACGCATTTATAGCAGCCGCCGGCTATTCTAGACCCTAATTCTGCATTCTGGATTGCTGATTTCTGCACACTTGTGCCCAGACAACATTTTCTCCTTTTAGGTGCTTGCGTGGCCTACTTTCTGACTAAGCGACGCGAATATCGGAACTCTCTCAATCCCTTCAAAGGGCTTAAGGAGAAAGAGGAGAAGAAATTACGAAGCAGGCGGTATCGGGTAAGGCAATTAGCAATTCCACATGTTTTGGGTATGTCTTGTCTAGTGAAAAGAAGAATTGGGCTGTGTGGGGGGGAAACATAGCAATTTATATATGTATAAAAGTGAAATACCACTCATGCATCATCACAAAATCTCCAGAACCGTAAAGCCTACACGAAATTTGGCACATATGTTCCTCTTGGCTTCTAGGGGCTCCCTAAGAAAGGATTTTTTGAAATGGCCATCAGAGCATTAGTATTTCTTAATATAGTCATTAACACGCTCTGATGCTAAGGAGTTCTACTCCCCCTCCCCACCTGAAAAGAAATCTCTTCCAACTGCCAGTTGCCTCACATTCAGTCACTCACATTCCGCTACCTTACTAACTCCACAGCCATTTGCACCACTTAGGTGTCCTAAGGACACAGACAAACCTCCAAGTTGCCTCAATGACCCTCTAAAAGGATGCAAACTACACTTAACAACCAGGAAGCTACTTTGGAATCAAAGGTATTAGTATTTTTATTATCCACCATCCAGTCAGAGCTGAAGAAGCTCCTTGGATGAGAAGCAAAACATCTTCAAAGAAAAGTCAGAAAGTCCAGTTATCTCCTGAAAAAAAGCACCTTTGGGACAACAGTTGGAGGATTGTATTTTATAACGCTTTTGCTGGATAGATAGATAGATAGGTAGATAGGTAGATAGACAGAGATGAATGGATGGATAAATAGATAGATAGATAGATAGATAGATAGATAGATAGATAGATAGATAGATAGATGATAGATAGATAGATAGATGATAGATAGATAGATAGACGATAGATAGATAGATAGATAGATAGATAGATAGATAGATAGATAGATAGATGATAGATAGATAGATAGATAGATAGATAGAAAGGAATGGAAAAGAGAAGGAAGGGAAAGGGATAGGAAAGGAAAGGAAACCTTTATGTGTTTCAATCACCGACCACCAGCGAGCCAACAGACTGTGAACTGAATTTCTCCTGCATAGCCCGATCACAAAGTTTCGTCATGAAGCACGGATAACTAGCTAGTCTTCCAATATTTGAGGGGCTGCCCCAAAGAAGAGGGATTGAACCTGTTCTCCAGGAGAAGGAGAGGAGAAGAAGGCAAAAAAGGAAGCAACAAATGGAAATTAATCAAGGAGAGAAGCAACCTGGAACTTAGGAGAAATTTCATGAAAGAACAATTAATCGGTGGTTAATTCAGTAGTTGTGGATTTTCCGTCACTGGAGGTTTTTAAGAAGACATCGCAGGACAATTTGTGTGAGGTATTCTGTTTGAGTAGGGGGTTGGATTAGAACACCTTCAAGGTCTCTCCAACGCTGTTATTCTATTATTTTTATTCTCACCTATTCTATTGTTCTGTTATTCTATTATCATTTTGTTATTTGGTTACAGGTGACCCAATAAGCCAATAACTATTCCATTTATTACTCAAGGTTTTTTTTTTTTTTTTGGTCACGTTTTAAAAGCCGATACAGACTTCCATCGATTTTATTTCAGGATGTCTGTTAACAAAAACGTTGAAGCTGGCCCCCGTATGGAAGAAGAAATTACCAATATTCCATTGAAATCTATAGAGAAAAGGCTATTTCCCCCCCTCACAGTTGATAGAATACAGGTGGTCCTTGACTTATAACAGTTTAGTAACCGTTCAAAGTTACAACGGCACCGAAAAAAGTGACTTTTGACCATTTTTCACACAACCATTGCAGTGTCCCCCGCGATCCCGTGATGACAATTTAGATGCCTGGCAACTGATTCATATTTATGACGGTTTATCTCGGAGTCACGTGATTCCCGTTTTGCAACTTTCTGACAAGCAATTTAAGAACCATGTTACTAATTTTATCAACGGCTGTGATCCACTTAGCAACGGTGATGAGAAATAGCTCAAAATTCCCTTGTTTCTGTTCACAACAGAAATGTTGGCCTCCCTTGTGATCGTACGTTGATGACTTCCTGTAATAGGGGCTTAGCCAAGAAGGCTAGGTTCAAACCCGATAGCTACAAATGCAGCCCTCTCAGTTTCATAGGAAAATATGAATTATTCAAAAGGCAAATATAAAATATTTCAAAATTCAAACGCAAGCTCATCTCAAGCTTCTTCGTTGATATAGGGAATTTCTCCTTCTAGACTCCATAAAACATTGGGCTTTTTGTCAACTCCAGCCTTAGCTTTATTTATTTTAAAATGCAAACTTCTGTTTTTTACGACCTCCCTTTAATTGTATTTACCGAAGTGTCAGTTCCATTATCTTCCTGGGCTGATATACAATTGAGGCTGGCAGTCTATCAACATTAAGTGAGATATTAAACCTTACTGGATTTAATTTAGATTTAAGTTGTAATCCCTCCACTTTGCAATTAATCGCAGCGTGAACATGCAAGTTCTCCTCAACTTACAATAGTTTATTTAGCGACCATTCAAAGTTGCAAAGGCACCGAAAAAAGTGACTTATTATGCTCATTTTTCCACACTTGTGACCGTTGCAATATCCCTCAAAATTCAGATGCTTCTCAATGGGTTCATATTTATGATGGTCGCAGTGTCCTGGGAGTCAAACGGTCTCCTTTTTGCGACCTTCTGACAAAGCAAAGATTCACTTAACGACTGTGTGACTAACTTTAACAAAGGCAGTGATTCACTTAACCACTGTGGCAAGAAGAAGTCGTAAAACCGGTCCAAATTCACTTAACAAATGCGTCCCTTAGCAATGTCAATAAAGGGGAATAGCGTTGTATCGTATTGCACCACGGGCTTATCAAAATGGTGCAATAAAATGAGACCGGGAAGTGTGGGGGGGTGTCTCCCAGCATGGCAACTTTAAGGCTTGTGGACTTCAACTCCCAGAATTCCCTGCTGTCTAAGGAATTCTGGGAGTTGGAGTCCATGTGATATAAAGTAGCCAAGCTTGAGAAACACGGCCGAGAGACCATTGACAATAATGGGATTTTGAGCTAGTAGTGATCGTTCCTTCTTACTCCAATGGATCTTCTATAATTACTAGATAACAAATAATTGTTATCCAGGTCATAGCTGTTATCCGTGCTTCCATGTAAACACGACAACAACAAGCTGCGGAGTCAAAAGAAAACCACAACAGTGTCACACAGATTGTGATATCTCTGTATTGGTGGCCTTTTCTGTCTCCTCTTCCTAGGGACGCCCGGGAGAAAATATTACAGTATTTTCATCCTGGTTTATTTAGGGGTAAACAAACCTAATTCAGTAGAGTCTTCGTTTAACCCTCAGAATAGGATCATCCTCCCCATAATCCCTTGCAGGGTAGTCTGGGCAACTGAATGGAGCTGCGTGTTTACTGGCCAGATGCCCTTCCTGTTGCCAATGCAGAGTTCCCCCCCCCCCCAGCAGATGTATTCTCAGTGTGCCCAGAGAGAGAGAGAGAGAGAGAGAGAGAGAGAGAGAGAGAGAGATCTGTCTCTACCTGGGATCGAACTCACAGACTCCGGATTGTGAGGCGAGAGCTCCTCCTCTAGGCCACCCTCAGAATAGGATAATTTTGTAAAAAGAATAATTCAGCCGCCTCTTAATCATCCAATTCAGGGCCAGAAAGCAACAGTAGGCTTATAATACTTCAGTAGGGAAAAAAAGAGCATAAAAATTCCGAAATGAACCTTTTACAAGACTGGACATGATTTAAGTTTTATCCTTTGCTTAAACAAGCAAGGTCTTTAATCAGAAAATGTCCCCGGGATATTTTCTTTTTATAGTTATCATCTCCTTAAGTTATGAATGGACGTCTCCAAGAAATAAATTTAATTTCCTCCCTCCCCTTGAATTAATGTGCCTAAGATGATGGGTGAGAAGCTTCCGGCTTCTTAAAACAAACCCCCACAAAAATATTATTTTCCCAAGCAGCAGCTCACCTCCCAATTTGCTCCTATGTACAGGTAGTCCTTGACTTATAACGGCTCATTTGGCAACTGTTCAAAGTTACGCCGCCGCTGAAAAAAAGAGATGGCGATTTTTCACACTTATGATTGTTGCAGGATGTTTCCCTGAGCAATGTCAAGAAAGGGGAATACGGTTGTATCGTATTGCACCAGGGGGCGATCAAAATTGTGGCTTGTGGAGTTCAACTCCCAGAATTCCCTGCTGCCTGAGGAATTCTGGGAGTTGGAGTTGTGAGGTGATCAAAATTCGGATGCTTGGCAAGTGGACCTCAGTGTCCTGGGGTCATGGGATCAAATGTTGTGACATTCTGACAAGCGAAGCGAATGTCTTAGCCAGATTCACTTAACATAAAGGTGGCTTCTCTCCCCCCCCCACATCCTTCCCTTTTCAAGCTTTTCGCCAACCGTTCGGGGGTGGCCCGGTTGTTGGGCTCGGATGAGCAGCGTCTGTGGCAAGGGGTCACCGAAGAGCTGATGTCGGACGAGGAAGACAGCACCCGCGAAGCGGGGGTGTGGGTAGCGCGATCACCTCGCTTCCGTGCGATGTCGCTCAGCCAGCTGTGCTACCGTCTGGATGCCAACTCCAAGCATGGCACCAAAGCCAACCGGGTCTACGGGCCGCCCTCCGAGCGCCTGCCCTCTGCCGAAGTCCAGCTTCTGCCCCCACAGCTGTATAACCCCCACTTCCAAGAGGAAGACCCCAAAATGGGCACCCCATGCCACAAAGCTTTCGGCTCCGAGCTCAACTCCTTTGTGGAGATCAAAGTAGAAAAGGACCAGTAGAGGATCCTCGGCTCCTTTCCACGATGGCCGGCTGACTAAAACCACCAGGAAGGGGCGGGGGGGGGGGGGCCGGGTTGCGCACAGTTCATCCTCGATTTACAACGATTCGTTTAGCAACCTTTCGAAGTTGAAGGCCTGAAAAAACTTGACTTGCCTCCAAACTGATCACCTGGGGTCACGATCCCCTTTTGCAACCTTCCGACGAGCAAAGTTGGGCGGGAAGCTGGATTTAACAACCAAGTGACTCTCACTTAACCACTGCAGTGCTTCACTTAACAGCGGATGCAAGAAAGGTGTTGGGGTTCCGAGTATTACATTCATAATAATCAGACCTACGAGACAAGGTTCCTCCAAGAATTGGTTTATGGGACATACCATATTGGCATAAGCTGGTGAAAACCGAGTCTGAACATTCCCATGGTTTTCATCTAATTAAAAGTAAAAGTTTCTCTCATTTCCCAGTCAGTCAGTCACACGGTCCAATCAAGGCCCCCTCTGGTTGCCGGGTGACATCGCTCCGCCTCTTCCTGGTCACCTGTGAGAATGTTCTTGGTTCCCAAAAGAAAGTATTTTGCTTTGACCACAATCCCCTTCTATCTCTATTTCCCCCACCCTCTCCCACAGCTCCAATGTGGCAACACTGAAGCCTCAAAATGGCCTCCGTCAGGTCAGCTTCAGGGTTGACAAAAGGTTGTAAAACGGCAAAACTCATTTAATGAATGTTTTGCTTAACCACAGAGATTTTGGACTGCGTTGCAGTTGTGTTGTGGCCCACTGGCGGCTAGTGGAGTTGGCAGCAGAGTTGGACAGTGAGGAGATTGGGGAGGAACTTGGGCCAGTGCTGGAGGCGGAGGAAGGCTCAGATGAGGGCTCTGCATCAGAGGCAGAGATGGGGCCAAGGCAGCCTGGCAGTCATCAGCTGCCTTCAGAGTCAGACAGCAGTGAGGCGGGAGAACAGCTGGAGCCAGTTCCCAGCTTACGCATGCGTAGAGCTGCCAAAAGAAAAGAACAATTATGAACTAAGGGTCGATATGGGAGTAAGGCCACAGGTGGATGGTGAATGGCCCCTCCCACAGGGATTAAAAGAGGAGCAAACGGGGAGGGGGCTTTTGCAGGAAACAATTCGTTTGTTGCAGCAGTGTGAAGATCTGTCTGTGCGTCTCAGAGACTCCGTGCTGAGTCCTTCCTTGTCAGCACTGCGTTTGGAAATAGTTATTTTGCAGCTCTCCAAGCTAGATAAGGTCTATGCTCCTCATTAGACCCTTGAAAGGCTGTTTGTCAGGCCTTTGGCGGAATGTGAATGCAAGAAATTCACCTTCGTTTAGTAAAAGGGGTTTTGCAGAGATAAAAAAATCTGCTTAGTGCTTTTTGGGGAACCCTAGGTCAGAACAGTAAGCCCCGGGGAATACCTGTATATTTGTGCCTCCTGAATGGTAGATGTGACAGGTTTTGGGTACTGATGGACCTCTGTCAATGAGCTGTACACTGGTGGCCTCCCTACTATCTCCTGAGCTCAGCCTTTTGGCTAGAGTCCTGTAGACCTCTGTTTTATTTGCAGAAAGATTAAAGCAATTGTTTGTAAGAGAAAAAAAGGAGCAGCTTAAAATCATTTCTGCATTTCCGGTGGTCATATTGGCTTAGTGCATCCCACTTGGCGAGCCCTGGCAGCCCCCTGGTGGTTCTTTTCAGTACTACAAACAGAGGAATGATCCCAATGTATGAAACGGGCCATCCTTAACTTACAAGCGTTCGTTTAGCGATCAAAGTTACAAGGGCACTGAAAAAGGACTGACCTACAGCCGGTCCTTGCACTTAAAACCGTCGCAGCATCTCCACAATCCGATGATTGAAAATTTGGGCGCTTGGTAAACAGAATTACAGAGTTGGAAGGGTCCTTGTAGGTCATCTAGTCCAGGGGTCACCAACCTTTTGGACCTCAGGGACCACCAAACTCATAATTCTATATCCCAGGGACCACTAACCAGTTCTGTGGGCATGGCCTAATTTGTGGGTGTAGCTTGGTGGTCATGTGACTAGGTGGGCATGGCTTGTATGTAAATATTATAAATATATAAATAATTGATTTTTTTAATAAAAAAAGAGCAACTTTTACCCAAAATCAGGCAAAACAGTCAGGCAGATTGAGTTGCTCACAGAATCACAGATTCATTCAGAGTATCTATCTGCCATTGGCTAGCTCAGTCTGTCACATAAAATTTGCTTGCAAGCAAACTCATAAAGTTTGCTTGCAAGCAAACTCATAAAACTAACTCACAACACACCATGTATGTAAATATTGAATTTTTTATATAAAAAAGCATTTTTTACCCCAAATCAGGCAAAGCAGGCAGATTGAGTTGCTCACAGAATCCATTCTGTTATCTATCTATCTGCCATCGGCAAGCTCAGTCTCTCAAATTTGCTTGCCGTGAATCTGCACTGAATTTGCTTGCAAGCAAACCTTCAGTCCTAAGGGAAGCAGAGCCGAAGATCTAAAGACTAGCTAGAAAGCAAGAAATCCAACCATTTCCTGCTTCCTAGCTAATCTAAATCTCCCGGCGCAGCAGAACAGATGATGGTCGGAAAAAGGAAAAATAGCAACTTAGCAGGCAAGTTTGCCGGGTAAGGAGTGAGTGGGCGGGGAGGGTTCTCACAGGCCATGTGTGGGCTGAGCAGCCTTGTGTTTCTGCGCAGCCTGGATTAATTGCTTTGGGGGTGCTCTGGGGGTGAGATTTCTCTGCGGCCCACCAAAATTTTCTCACGGCCTTGGCGACCACTGATCTAGTCCAACCCCATTTGCGAGCTGGTCAGCTGGCTTCCGATGAGCAAAGTCAATGAGGCAAAGCTGGATTCGCTTAATGATGGCCTGGTTCACTGCCGTGATTTGCTGAACAAAAAAAAAAAGGTGATAAAATCAGATGTGTTTCACTTAACAACCTGTTTGCTTAACAACAAAATTTCTGATCCCTATTGTGATCATGAGGATTTCCTGGACTTGTTACCTGTGATTTTTCAATCTTGAAAAAAAAAAAAACCAACAAAGTCTTTTTTCTTGCATCCTGCGGCTCTCATCCCTCCATATCTGTGTTACTTTCCTTTCTTCGTTCTTGTCTTTTATAAATACTTTCCCTGGTGAAAATTAGAAAATCTTTTGGGACCATTAGAAAGGTACGGACATCCTGGGACCTATAATTTGTTGGTGGGAGAGCCTGTTTAATCTGCTGAAGTTTTTATTTACGTGTTTGGTTTATATGCCACCTTTATTAGACTTAGAATTCTTTATTGGCCAAGTCTGATTGGATACACAAGGAATTTTTATAAATAACTTGAGGTGGCAAACACACTATGTTCCTTCTTCCCCTCATTTTCCTCAGAACAACCACCCTGTAAGGTGGGTTGGGTTGAGGGAAAGGGACTGGCCCAAAGTCACCCAGGCAGCTTTCATGCCTTAGGCAGGACTAGAACTCGCTGTCTCCTGTTGATTGGCCCAAATTCATCCAGCCGGCTTTCATATCTAAGACAGGACTAGAACTCACCTTCTCCTGGTGATTGGCCCAAAGTCATCCAGCTACGTTTCTAAGACGGAACTAGAACTCATTGTCTCCTGGTGATTGGCCCAAAGTCATCCAACTGGCTTTCATATCTAAGACGGAACTAGAACTCACCGACTCCTGGTGATTGGCCCAATCCAGCTGGCTTTCATATCTAAGACAGAACTAGAACTCACCGTCTCCTGGTGATTGGCCCAAAGTCATCCAGCTGGCTTTCATCTCCAAGGTGGAACTAGAACTCGCATCTCCTGGTTTCTAGCCAGTTTCTCACTTTGAAAACAAGGGCCAAATCCAAGCATCATGAAGAATTCCTATCCCAAAGAAGGCAGGTAAAATTTAGCTCCCCAGCTACATCCAGTCTCTATTCTTGAATTATTATTTATTTGATTCTTTGCAAATTCGTTCACCAAAAAAGCAAAATACTGAAGAGAAAAACAAAAACCAGGATTGAGCATTAATATTAATTCAAATGGAAACTACTACTTGCAGAATTCAGATTTTCGTGCGCAGAGAAAGGAAAGGCGCAGCCACTTCAATCAGCTTCCCTAAATTTCATATATACGATTTCCCATTCATCCCTGCCAAAGCCCATGCTGGCAGGGGATGATGGATCTGTGCATATAGACAACGGAGGGCACAGCTTCCAGATCCCAGCGGTGAACCCCCCGCCCCCCGATGATTATTAAAAGCCAAGGAAATGATTTTTGTTTTTTAATCCGGAGTTTTTGCAAGCCAGATCTGATAGAATTGAGCGGCGGGCGCCCGGTTGGAGAAGGTGAGCTAACTCAACGCTGAATATGGAGAAAGTGTCCGTCAGCGCCCCCTTTGGATTGCCGGAGGGAAATATCCCAGGCGCTGACCAATCAGGATGCTTAAAAATAAAAAACCCGCTCAGAGTCAGTTTCCTTCCCCACCACACTTTCACCGGCTCCGACCCGCCTTGCGCTTCTCGTTTGCCCATTGGCGGCTTCCACTCAGCGGCCCCACCCCTCGCGCTCAGGACCAATCCCTCCCGCCAGCCTTTCGGTAGAATTCTCGGCGCGCGAGGCGGAGGGTCTGAGTCGGTCCTCGGCGTGGGCGGGGCGATGCGTCGACCGCGCGGGATTAAAAAAAAAAAGGGCGGGTAGAGTGGCCACGCCCTCCCATGACGTCACAGGTTGGCTTGCCCGGGCTTTGCAAGGAAGAGGGGGTGTTTTTGGGGTGAGGAAGTGGGGGGGGGGGCCCGTGGGGGGGGGGATTTAATCCCCATCACTTTCGCTCCCCTCCCCTTATTTCTTGGCTTTGCAATTGCTTTGTAGTTCGGAGATGGGGGAGGCAGCCGCGGAGCTGGGGGCAGGAAAGCTTCACCGGTTGCATTTCTGCCTGCTATTGGGCAGGGTACAGCAAGGACCACCGAGGGGTGGGCTTTTGGAAGGGTGGGGTCGGAGAGGATGCAGGTTGTTGTGAGGGGGGGCCCTTGGCAGCGACTTTCCTTGGGGGCAGGGGGAAAAAAACCAGAATAAAGCCCCGCCCTGCCCTACACAGGGAGTTGGATTAGATGATCTCTGGTGCCCCTTTGCAGCCCTGGGATTCTCTCTAGCAAGCTTTCGTGCCTATGGTGGAACTATAATTCACCATTTTGTGGTGTTCGGCCCAGAGTCATCCAGCTGGCTTTCCTGCCTTAGGTGGGACAAGAACTCACCATTACCTGTTGATATTCCCAAAGTCACCCAGCCGCCATTCATGCCTAAGGTGGGACTAGAACTCCTGTCTCCTGGTGATTAGCCCAAAATAACCCAGCCAGTTTTCATGGTTAAAGCCAGATTTGAACTCATGATCTCCCGCTTTCTAGCCTGGCGCCTTAAACTAGCCATCTTCTGTGAGAAAGGAGAGAATTTAGGCTCGGTTCATACTGAGGGAAACATCAACCCTAAAACTTGGTATCACCCCTATAAAATAGCAAGTGTCAGGTTCCGCCTCCTCTCCAACCGGTAACTCTTTCCCGTGGGCACGAGTTCGAATCCTAATCATCCCTTCCCCTGTTCAAAAGCTTATCAGCCAATTAATCCGGAGGACACCAGGTTGAATTTTTAAAAAATAAAATAAATCCTGATCTAACCATTGCATGCTTCTACACATCTCTGCTGCCGAAAGAAATTCGCCGGATTTATTTCCCAGTCAGATCCCATCCTCTCATGGCTTCTTCCGATTTTATTTCCTTTTTTTTTTCTTGGCAGTTTCCCTGAGGAAACGGGAAGGAATGGAGGATTCGGAAGGTAATATCCCTATAACAATGTCATCATCACCGTGGATTTCTGGGAATTTTTTTAAAAAAAGGATGGTAATTAGCTTTTTCTCTCCCCCCCCCCCCCCCCCCAGTTTTTCTTTCCGCAGATTGTACAAGCCAGCTGCCTTTTTGCTCGTTGATAGACGATCTTTCTGCTAATCCTGGCTTTGCTAACTTCCTTATGCATCTGAAAAATCATATCGATTCTTCAGGGATGAGCATCGCTTTGGCCCAACCATTGGAAGAGGTGGGAAGAGAGAGGGCAGGTGGGTGGAGGATGGGGGCAAGGAAGTGGATAAGAGCTGGCATACAGGTAGCCTTTAACAGATTTAACAGAGTTGGAAGGGACCTTGTAGGTTATCTAGTCCAACCCCCAGACCAAACAGGAGACCCTACACCATTTCTGAGAGGCGGCAGTCCAGTCTCTTCTTGAAAGCTTCCAGGGATGAAGCTCCCACTACTTCTGAAGGCAGACTTCCTCACCTTGCGACCACAATCGAGCCCCAAATTGATGTTGCTAAGTGAGAAATTCGTTAAGTGAGTTTTGCCCTGTTGTATGGCTTCCCTTGCCATGTTTGTTAAGTGAATCGCGGCCATTGTTCAATTACTTATGCCGTTGTTCAGTGGATCGGGCTTCCCCGTTGACTTTGCTTGTTGTAAGGTCACAAAAGGGGGATCACATGTCCCCGAGACGCCACAACCATCATAAATATGAACCAGTGGACAAGCAACTGAATTTTGATCACGTGACCCTGGGGAATGCTGCAATGGTCGCAAGTGTGAAACATGGTCGCGAGTTGCTTTTTTCAGTGTTGTTGTAACTTTAAACGGTCACTAAATGAACTATGATAAGTAGAAGGCCAGCCATAGATTTACGCTGTGAGTTTTGCCCCCTTTCACAACTTTCTCATCGGGTCGCATAAGGGGATCACGTGACCCCTTATGTGACCGTCATAAAGATGAGTCAGTTACCCAGCATCTGAGTGTAAATCATGTGACTGGGAATGCTACAACGGTCATATAAGCATGAAAAGTGGCCTTAAATCACTTTCAGTGTTTTTGTAACTGCGAACGGTCACTAAATGAACCATCGTAAGTCAACGACATCCTGAATTCTGAAAAAACCCCATTTTTCTTTGTTTGGGGTCGGGTGTTGCAAAAAGGGATGGAGCAAAAATTAGGATCTAAATCAGTGTTTTTAAATTTCAGCTACTTGAAGATGGGTGGACTTCAACTCCCAGAATTCCCCAGCCAGCCTAGCTGGCTGGGGAATTCTGGGACTTGAAGTCCATCCCTCTTCAATGATCAAGGTTGAAATGCATGAGGTAAAGCTTAAGGAAGATGCTAAGGGAGGAATATGTTGCATTGCAGATCATCTTAAGCAAGAATGAGCAAATGGATCCTATTCCCCACTCAGGGTGTGAGAAACCTGGTCGATCATCTCTGCAGTGCAGAGAGATAAAATAAACACCACAAAGAAAAAAATATTTACCAATTCGAGTTCTCATGAGGCAGACATATGTTTCATGTATTATAGCGCTTGACATACATACAGCAGCTACCCAACCACAAGAAGACAGCGGAAATAATAAGGGGAAACCTTTTTAGAAATAATAAGGAGAAACCTTAACATTAATTAGTTCCTAAGGGCGCACAGAAAATCTGTGTTTTGTCCAGTTCGGTTCAAAGATCTGTTAGGTTGTGTGAATCGGGTTCTTTCTGGGTTAAATATACATACATACAGGGACCCAGGATATTCAGCGGGGCTGAAATAAAGTTAACGAGGTTAATTCTCCCCGCTAGCACTCAAAAAAAAAATATTGGGAAAAAATGGTCATGTGTTTTGGTGTCTGCTTGCAGAATGATCTCTGTTCAGTGCCTTAAACTGAATAGTCTTACAGCTTCTATACATTGTCTGCCTGTTTGGCTGGCCTGCCTCTCCCTCCCCTCTCCGCCCCTCCCCCTCCCCCCCCCCCCCTCTCCCTCTCCTGTCCCCCTCCTCTCTCCCTCTCCCTCCCTCCCTCTCCCTCTCTCTCTCCCTCTCTCTCTCTGTCTATTTTTCATTCGGTCATGTCTGATTATTGAAGAAGTTTTTTAAAGTGACTTGCCATTGCCTCCTTTGTGGGGCTCAGCAAGTGACGGGTCTATCTCTCTCTATCATAACTAGTCCCTACGTATGTCAATATCTCTGTCTCTATCTAATCTCTATCAATCTTTCCATAACACTATCAACCTATAGCTATCGATCAACTTCTTAATTTCTTTCTTTCTACCTACCTATCTATCTATAACAACAACCCTGCAAGGTGGGTTTGGCTGAAAGAGAGTGACTAGCCCAGGGTCACTCAGTTGGCTTTGTGCCGAAGGCAGGACTAGAACTGATGATCTGCTTTCTAACCTGGTGCCTTAGTCTCTTTCTCTGTCTCTCTACATACATACATACACCTGTCTTCCTCTATCTACTATCTGTATCTCTTATCAATCTCTATCTACCTCATATCTATCTATGTCTTTCTATTCATCACTATCTCTTTCTGTCTATATATCTATCGAACCTAGATAGGTAGGTAGATATTGATATAGACAAAAAGAGACAGATGAATAGAGACAGTAGACAGGTAATCTACCTATCTACCTGCCTGTCCCCTTTATGTTTACTGTCTATCAATTTCTGTGTCTCTATCAATTTATATCTATCTAAATCTATATGTCTCTACCCATCTATCTCTTTCTGCCCATATATCTGTCAATATACCTATCTAAGGTTGATCGGTAGACAAACAGTTAATGTTTGTCCCTCTCCCTTTCCCTCTCTCAATCTCTCTCCCTCCCTCTTCCTCTCTCCCTTCCTCC